TTATGAAATTTATGTTAAGGAGTATTTCGGTGAAAAAAAAACATTTTTTAAAAAAAAAAAAAAAAAAAAAGTCATGCATATCATTACTGTTAACCAAGTGATTCCTGAGTGTGAAAAGATCAGATGAGAAAAAGAAAGCATAGCAATAGGACTAGAGTTTAGCATTATCCAGACTTGGTCCTAAATAATTCCTCCCTAACAGTAGTGACTTTCTTCTCTTTTCCTGGGAAGGACCTTGATGTCAGACGCGCTGTCTGCAGGGTGTCTCACACCTGGGCGTTACAATCCCCTGGTGAAACGCAGCCTTCTTTCAGGGTTTTGTACCTAGTTCTCATGCAGGGTATCTACATTCCCGTAGCCACAGACCTTGCGTGTGCGGTGAGTTGGACTCATTACCGTGTTATCACAGAGCAGGCACGGTAAATCCGCTTGCTGCACAGATGCACTTCAGCTGCATGGTGTATGCGCTTTAGGTCTGACATGCAGTGTATCTGCATGTGTCTCACAGCTGCTTTCCAGGTAACCGAAAAAGCATTCGGCTGCGTATGAAATATGAAACAAATTATATCTATTAGGCTTCTAATATAGAGCATATAATTTAAATATATAATAATGAAAATCCCATTTTATACAGGATAGCCAACAGCCCACCTCCCAGCTGTTAAATCTTGGAGAGACTGGTTCAGACTGGGGGTGAAAGGGATGAAATATATGGGCTTATGCCTTAAGATAACATAGGCTGTAGCACCTCTTTTAAAAAGCTACAGCTCCTGAAGAAAAGGGCTCAAGGGTGCTTTTTTTTTTCCAGGTATTTTGGGCAGATGATTGAACACGAATGGAGATTTCCTTTAGAAGGAAATGTACGTGAGGCCGTTGCATAGCATACTAAAAATGGCTGTCAAGAGAAACTTTCATAATGCACCAGATAGTCAGCGTGTATTACAATCAAAATCAGCTTTTTAATCTGCAGACAATGAGCGCCCATTGTGATGCGGAACAAGTAATGTAAACCAAAAGTATTCAAAGATATTGCTCAGAAGGAGAAATGCGTGCACGCAGCTGGCCACAAAGCCTTTTAAGCTTATGGGCAAATCAGCTACCTGCTTGGCATAATCATATTCTCCAGTAGTTTCTGATTGTTTACAAAATTACCAGCCTTCTTAGGCAGGTCGCTAACTTTGGCATCCAGCCTACTTTTAAAAACTCAGGAATTGCCTTTATAGACATTTACTGTTGGATTCTGTATCAGATGGCAGTCTTATCTTCCTGTCTTTTAGGAGTTCCTGATACTTTGGCAGATTCAGGATAAAGGGGAAAAGGTGGAAGAAACTCTTAAGAGGAAAAACACTGAGTTACAATGTTTCGTATTCTTATTCTAGAAATTAGGGTTGCCAGTCAATGACTTGGAAATCCAGGACCAAGCTACAAGCCCTTAATGCAACTACTTTCCCTTGGTTGGTTTGGTTTGGTTTTTTGTTTTAAATTATTATTATCCTTGGAAAATATGAGATTCCCCCTTTGCTTTTGTGTATCTGTTCAAAACGTTATTTTTAAAGCTCCATCTTTTGTCCATCATCTACTGTTCCCTCTCTGTCAGTGATGATTAACCCCCTATAGGGGTACATATCCAAACCCCTGTTTCTGTCATATAGACAAATCTCTTCTTACTGATATTTGTTTAATTTTCAGGCTGTCAGTATCTGTTAAGTAGTGCAGTCCCTTACAGCACTGTGGTGCTTGATGTGCATGCTTTCTGGAGGTTCTGCACAGCGGGCAGAGTTCTTTGCAAAGAACTCTAAATATAGTAGGTTGCACTTCTAATTTTGTTGTCTTTTAATTTCCTTTTGACTGAATTCATGCTTTTCATCTTTCCTTTGGTTTCTCTCTTTAGCCTTTTTTTTCTCCTGCCTCAGCCCTGTTTTCCCTTAACATCTCCACCGCATTGAAAAGGACAAATACAAGCTAATCTAATCTCTCCGCCCTCTCTTCTGCTTTAACAAAGCTTTTAGCTTCCCCTGTCTCTCTTCTTTGTTTTCTTTACCTTTCTTTCCCTTCCCCCTCCAAAAAATTCACCACTCCTATGTAAAAGAATTGGTCAAGCTGCAGTAGGACATGTAATCGTTGTGACTTAACAGACAAAATCTTCTGAGTTTTCCAGATGCGCCTGTGTGTCGTTATACCAGACTTGTACCTCCTGTTGCAAAATATGTGTATGGACAAGAACATAAAGAGAAAGATATGTCAAGCTTTCACTTTCTGATTCCTGGCAGAATTCTTTCGTCTACTCTAGCAGAGTAGCCTGGTGGCCGAGTACAAATGCTCTGTTCCGTCTGATATACTTTGTAGGGTTTTGTTCTTGCTAATGACTGAAGGCTTGTAAATTTTTCTTTCCCATTTGGGCCACCATTTCCTTGAATCAAGAGGCTAAGACCTTAGGCCTTTTCTAAGGCTGCTTCTGCTTCTGCCTATCTGCTGCATGCTGATTCTCTCTGATAAGTCCAAGTGTGTCAGGTTGGCAGTGTTCCCAGCCACCATCAGCATTGCTGCATTCCCGGAGTCGGGTCTTGGTTAGCACAAAGCATTGACAAATTCAGTGTATTTACGTTTGCTCCCTTGCTATACTTATAGTGGTGAGGATTTTTTTTTTTTTTAAATAGAATAATATCAGAGCAGCCAATGAATGAGCATAAATGTTAATGGCTGACAGTCCTCACAGGTACTGCATGCAGGAATCAAAATTCGGATGTTTATGTGTTGGGGGGTGATCTCTCCGAGAGGCATAGGCCTTTAGGTGTGCAATTAAAAAGAAACTTATCTTGAATGGTTTGAACTGTTAAAACTGATGCAAGTATGCACTTGAATGTCATGCATTTCCAGTGTGTTCTTGCTGCTGTAGTGGGCTGTACCATTCCCTTTATAGCAGCACTCTCTCTAGTTCCTGCTACATTTGTAAAACAGAACAAACTGCCAGTGTAATCCATGAGCCTTCCTGCTCCCTGCCCTGAAAAACATTGCCAAAGCTAAAAAGGGAAAATGCTTCCAGCAGGGACTCCAGAATTACTTATGAGATGAGAATTTATACCCTGGCTGTTAATCCGCTCTTGCAGCCTAAAACGCAGGAACACAAAAAATGTAAGCACAGTGATAGGATGTTTTGGCAGTTTTCCTGCGACAATGATATCTCAAGAAATAATCTGAATGCAGTATGGGACAATGCGGAGTAGAATTGTTAATTTTACTGAGTTGCATAGTTATGAGTCACGTCAGCTTGCAAGCAGAGAGGTCTGTGTGCTGAAGTAGTTATATCGTGCAGGGCGCTGGTTGGAGCTGAGGGAGGGCATTGGTTTTATTTGTGGTGATTGCTTCTGAGATCATTAGCAATGGAGTAGATGTCGAGTGAAGTGCATATTCTGTTTGCAACTGGCCTTGATTTATGGGAGAGGGTTTTCTGTAATCGGTTTTGCACAATCCTAGATCTTGCATGCTGTATTCGAAGAATGTTTGTTTTGCTTTATTTACTAATTCTTGTTTTAATATTAAACCCTTCCCTCTACAACTCCTTTTTTTTTGTTGTTGTTAATAAATAATCCTTTGATAACATGCAATATGCTTCAGAATCACCTTTTCATCTACGGTTTCCATTGTAATTTGTTGGTGACTATGGAATGATAATGCCTAGCTACCTAATACAGATGCAAAATTTTGAACAAAAATGTGAAGGCTTGTTGGGGCCTTTCTAAAGATTTGACCTTTAAAATCTTCATCTGGAGGGAAGACTTCCTTCCTTCCTGGCATAGCGATACATCCTCCCACTTTCTCTGCGTTAGGGAAGAGAACTGAATCACATTTCTGAATCCAATGCTTGGGAGCTGGCCCAAGATCAAACTGGCTGCCGTTTTCGCGTTTTGTTCCGTTTGCAGGATCTTACTAAAAGGCAAAGCACAAAAACCTGAAAAGCTACGTGAATATTTGTGCGAAAGCAGACGGGTAACCTGCCACGTAGAGAAGCCCCTGCCCTGCCGGGGCCTGCACCGCGGCCGACAGGGTTAACGGGCGGGAAGCGGCGGCGCGGGGCGCTGGGGCCGCGGGAGCGGGC